GTTTGTCTGGATAAACTTTAAAAATGGCTAGTGTAATGATGCGTGTCCAAAATTTTATAAACGCATACGATACATTTGCTTCATTTGAAATGTGTTTATTAATAAGCTTTATTTTCAAACTTATTTACAATTCACTTGTTTTCTCGTTTCAGTACGCACAACGGGCGTATGACATTTGCGCCGATTTAAAAAATTTCCGATCTTTTATTTGCGCCGATTTGATTCTTTCATTAGCGCCGATCTATATCTGCTCCCATTTCTGGGCATCTGCACCCGTTGAAAACTGTAAGAGGACGAATAACGGTTTAGAATCGTTTCATTCCCATTACAATGAACAGTTCTATTCGCACGAACCTATCATATATGTCTTTATGGATGTCAACAAAAAATTCCAGGCCGTTACTTGTGTCAAAATGAGAACTCTTGAAATGCCCGCCTCTGTACGCAAACTATGCAGAGAAAGAAAAGATGGACTACGTTGTTGGCAAGTACAACAAGTATAGAAGAGATGAAATTACAAGGGAGGAAAACATCAGATGTGTAGCATATAAATACTCGACAAGAACAGATTTATAATTCATTGAATTCCGTTTTTATGGATTTTTATGTTGTGCTTTTGAATGCTGTAAATAGATTTTTACTCCGTGATTTTAGTGGATGTAAACAAAGTGCTTTTATCTTTTAAATTGAAAGACAAAATCGGAGCAAGTGAAAGAAAAAATCGGCGCAAATGCAAAACGCCGCGCACAACTTTTGGAATGAACAGAAGGCTGTTATACCCTGTTTACACATGTGATCCACAGTCTGAAAATATCATTCTACAATTAGTGATTTTCAGCATGTACATGATAACATGTTTATAATGTAATTGCATCTAGGCAATATGAAAATAAGGAGATGCGGTATGATTGCCAATGAGACAACTATCCACCAAAGTCCAAATGAAGTGGATGTAAGCAATTATAGGCAATCGTACGGCCTTCAACAATGAGAAAAACCCATACCGTATGGTCGGCTATAAAAGGCACCCAAATGAAAAATATGGAACAATTCAATTGAGAAAACAAAGCAATTTACAAAAAACAAATATGACAGACATGAACCAAAGACAACCACTGAACTACAGGCACCTGACTTGGGACTGGCACATAAAGAATGGGGCGAGGTTAAACATGTTTGTGAGCGCCCAATCCTCCCCCTAACCTGGGACAGTGGTGTAACAGTAAAGCATAAGAACAAACTATAAAAATCAGTTGAAAAAGGCTAAACTCATCAGATGGATATACAAATAGAAATACATCTAACAAAAACACAGAGTGGACGTGGACGGGTACTTATACATCCCCACAACAAAAAAACATTAAGTACAGATCTGAGAGTACTCGCAGTTACTGACAGCTAGTTCAAAGCCAATAACAACTAATAAAAAAATCATGTTTCTAAGACTAAAATATCAATCAGTACACATCGAACATCCAATTGAATTTAGTGTAAAGACGTCTTTAACAGTCAGGGAAAAAACATGACCTTGTGCAATGCCAAACTATAGGTATCGACAGATTGTAGTACCATGAGAGTACATATGTGTAATAGTTTACTTAGTATGGTTTTAATTTACTGATAACAAAATCAATATTTATACCAATAAAAACAATATTCAAAGATTTAATTACAGTGTTGAATAAGTAACCTTTAAGAATGGGTTTATTTAAAGAATTGATAAGTTTACCCGGATCATATCTAAATTTCCGGGCTCAGTTTACAACATCACCGTAAAATTTAGGATGTGCAATTCCGTTTGAAATAAGTTTTCTACAGGTACAGCCAAACTTGCAGACCAAATCTTTGTATCTATGGATCTAAGCCTTTATTTTTTAATGAATTATTCAACTAATTAAACATATTCAAACAGACGAAAACCCGGATAGAAATGTTACCGACGTTGTAATGAAACTTACAGGGAATTCATTGTAATTCAAATACGTAGCTTGCAATTCGATTAATATAACCGCCTTAAACACGAAGGGTTAGGAACCTTGAATAGCAAATGAAAGAAGGTTTTATGGTTACAAATTATCAACGGACAGAGATGAATGTATTTTTTGTTCTCATCAAGAGACATTTTATTTGTAATTTAATTAAAATATGTTAGTTTGCATTCGTTGCGCAGGAAGTAATTTACAATCATGCACCACATTAAGTTTTCTTCAGTCCTCTTGTCATGTTTAAATGCAAATTTCGTTGTTAATATCCGTTTTCTAAATTCTTTTGATAACATATTTCAAGAAGACGGTAATGAATTTTTGAAAGAGTCTCCTGTCGCCTTTTTTTATTTTTATTAAGAGATTTCAAACATTTGACTGTTAAAAATAACTTTATTCTCGTCGTGATGTTGAACGATTTTGCTAAATATTCCACATTATTGGCAAAGTGAAACCATATGTTCACCAGTAAATAAAAAAAAATCTACAAAATTTGTAGCAACATTTTACAACTTACTCTCAACGGACCTGACGGTAGCCTACTCGATCAATTGCCTTTTCCCATATGAAACTTAATGCAAACGCAATTCAACGGATGGAGTCCTCGATAAACCGAATGAGAATATATACATGTAGTATAATTGTAAATAGTGTACATATTTTGCTCAGTGTATTCATATTTATCTTACCTCCTATACGTTTCTAGGAATATGATTGGTTAAAAGCGTCCGCGTGGAGACCGTGTATATTCCATATTAGGTTAGTAGGGAGGCGGGGCTTATTTCAATACACGGCTAGTAGTGGAGTTACGACTTTTGCACTATTTGATTATTTAAATGTATTGAAAGTTCTATTAAATATTGATATACCAAGGTTGTTCATATTAAATTGTTATTGTTGACATTATTTTTTTTAAAATTTTTTGCAGACCAATGGAAGAAGTTCTTAAGATTGAACACTTGAACACTTTAATATAAAAATAAGAAGATGTGGTATGATTGCAAATGAGACAACTCTAGTCTAAATTCAACAAATAAAGATAGTCGGTAAGATAAATTCGTTACACTGTGTGCTAGTGACCTAATACGATATATACGGGGTCAGTTAATTCCACATATGGAATTTACTGACCCCGTATATATCGTATTAGGTCGCTCTCACCCCATATGGAATTTAATGACCCCGTATATATCGTATTAGGTCACTAACACACTATGTAACTAATAATGTATGTCTGTATTTATTGATCATGTTGATGTCATGTAGCGTCTGTATACCATTGTAATTGCAAAGGTTTGACAGAATAAAGATATATATATATATATAATCCATGACGCCCTTGGTTAATGTTTCTGGTTTTATTAAGAAATTATCTACATTGAAAATAAAAAGCTGAAGGCAATTATTTGTTATCATGGTACATTTGAAATACTTGTTACCGGTTACTATCACGCATTGCTAATTAATTGATTCATATGTAATAGTTATACACCGAGGGATAGGTGTGTCTGGATAAGAAACCCCGTCGGCCGGAGGCCGGAGGGGTTTCTTATCCAGACACGCCGTATCCCGAGGTGTATAACTAACTTACACCCCATTCTAAACCCTATATTTGTTAACATTGATTATCAAATGAAAAAAAAAAAACGATAGCATATTTATTGACAATATCAAACCATGATTTATAAGAATATTTTTTTATTACATGAAACCCCACTAGTAACCTTTCTTTGGTTATCTTTGTTCAAACTTTGAAAAGTGAGTATATTTTACAAATGTAAAGTTGTTTTGCATATTCCCGTTAAATCCATGTGCTAATATGGATCAGCAGGTCAAGGTTGAGTGTTACGTGTATTCTTATTACAAACAAAAAATACATCATGCTCCTGGTATACAGTTGTCAATATGGACGGGTATAAGACGGACGACATTTTGTGACAAGCGTTGGATTTGGTAGAAGAGACTAAAGATAAAGGCCATATTATAACCCAAAGTACTTACCTGTATCAGTTTAATAAAGGTAATCATAACTGTATTTTATATCTTACGATTTTATCAAAAACAACCCCCACCCCCCTCTTCTCGAGAATAAACAAACATTCATATTCGAACATACTAAGGGATATGTGTGTCTGCATTAGAAACCCGACTACCAGACACGCTCAACATACAATATTTAATATTGAGGAACTCCCTTGGGGTGGGGGGGGGGGGGGCAATCAGGGGCTGATCAACTCAAGAGAAAAAGGGGAGTCCAACCATTCAAATGCATTGATCTTTTAAATAAAAGTCGCGGAACCCACAACCCCTTATCGGCCACTGGGTAACCGGGGCGGAAGGGGGGGGGGAGGGGGTGGGTACGGGAGTTAGAATCCCCATTTTTTTAAAAAATCAATGCTTTAGAATAGAGACATATGGCTGGGATAAAAAAAAATGCCTTCAAGCAAAATTAAGAGTATTTAAAGGATTATTTTTGAATTCCATATAGATGCTTATTGGAATTTCCTAAAATGTGTTTTTTTTTAATATCATGAAACAATTTGTAGTGAACAATTTAGTTATTTCTTATGTTCATGCTTTTTAAAAAATAATCAATTTCTATTGTTACGAATAACAATGGACTTTGTTGGCGGGATGTAGAAGCAGGGGTTTCCAGAAACCCCGCTCGTCACACCCTGTGGTCAAAATCCATTGTTATTCGTAACAATAGATCTATTCAATTTACACTTGTTTCAGAAATAGAAACTATGAAGTATAACAATAGAACTGGGGTGTAACGTTAGGTTTAATAGTCGTCACAAAATTTACATATACTTAGTATATGTAAGAGAATGATAATACTAATAGCTATAGCCGGAGGAACTTCCTTTAATAATTTAAATGACCAAACTGGCAGAGTTTAAAACGTAGAACGTCCTAGATAATATGTTAAATACATATAACGCAACAATACAAGTTCAAAATGTAGGACGACTTTTAATACATATAAAACACAAATGTACAGACACATCTTAGGTTAGTTGATATAAACCGATGTGTTCTGTGCACAGGTTTTCAAACCTAGTATTACCAAATGTATAAGCTCAGCTTGATAGGATAATTTGTACTTAAATAACCCGACATTCTGAGGATAGTGGAATAATAATAGTATACCAGGTACACTATTTAATCGTTAATTTTTGCAATGATTGGTCACATTTTACAATCCGTTGATATATTTGTTATTTTAACATTTTTGATTGCACTTTTCGTAGCTTACATTCTGTGGAACAATGTGACCCGCGCTCATTATAACATTCCAGGACCTACTCCGTGGCCGATTGTCGGCAATTTACCTGCAATGGCAGCTTCTTTCTTTCAAAACAAAAGTTCTCGGAACAGAAGTGAACAATTTTTAAAACTTCAGAAGAAATACGGAGATTTAGTGTGTCTCCGATTTAGAAACTCTACACAGGTTCTTGTGTTCGGATACACTAAGATTCATAAAGTGTTGGTCCTAAATGCTGATAAGACAAAGTTCCGACCAACCAATGCAGCTGTTGCAAAGAAACTTTTTCCAAAAGAAGCAGGTAAGAATGAATATTAATAACATGAAATACAATTGAGAATGAAAACGGGAAATATGTCAAAGAGACAACAACCCGACCTAAGAGCAGAAAGCAGACAAAGGCCACCAACGGGTGTTGAACGCAGCGAAATCCCGAACCCGGAGGCAAACTTCAGCTGGTACCAAAACAACAAGGTATATCAGTTCAGCGAAATGGACGCCACACCAAACACCGAAACATATAAATGACCTTAATATGAAGTCTAAAATATTCTCGCGATTATTATGAAGTCTTTATGTTATTGTCGCGAGAAACCTTAAACTTACTGAAATGTCTTTCTGTACTAACGGAAATTCCTAAAAATCAAAACATAGATCACACATATCTTAAATCTTCGTGATGTTGTCAACAGGCAACAAAAAAGAAATCGCACACCTTGCTAAAAGATCAATATATTACCGTTAAATATCAACATTTTATATAACGCACAAGGAAAAGTTCTGTAAACATAATCAGACAGCTACCCAACGACAATGATTATCAACAGACATCTAGAGGCCAAAGTGCAGATTATTATAGTAGGTTGTCATTACAATATGAAACGCTTTAAATAGTACTGATTCTAAATAAGTTGAGAATAAAAACAAATAAATATAATAAATATAATAATAAAACAGTTATCATATTATGTTATTAGTTATAAGTAACTAGGGGTAATAGATAAGTAAAACATCAGTTTTTAATGTTGTGAAAGAAATTTCATTTGGAAATTCACACGACTGAATAGCTCACTTTTTACGCCATGCTTATAATTTAAATCAGACTTCATAATGGTTTACTTTTATAAATTTTGACTTGGATGGAGGGTTGTCTCATTGGCACTCATACCACATCTTCTTATATCTATTCAGAACTAGTTCTACACACACTAGCTTTTGACCTGCAGATAATAGCAAAACCTACAATTCTTATTATTATAAATATTGAACCTAAATTAAGCTTTTTTAACAGGAGTTGCCATGAGTAATGGACAGGAATGGGTGGACCTACGAAGATTCACTATGGTCGCCCTCAAAGACTTTGGTGTTGGTAAAAAATCATTAGAAGAAAAAATACAGGAAGAGGCACGATTTCTAGTAGAACTGTTTGCAAAGCAAAATAAAAAACCTTTTGATGTCAGCAAAGTCTTTTCAAAGGCAACGTCGAATATAATATCAAGTATAATTTTTGGATCAAGGTACGTATAAATAAAATGTCATTCGGTTCTCTGTGTGCAACTTTAATCATATATAGTCCGAGCTGTTTTGGGGAAATCATTTGATGTCTTCTGATCGAATTGAAGATCATGCATTCAGTTTGATAGAAACTTTGAATATCAAAAATGGTCAGCAAGTTAAGATTTACAATTAAATCACATTGCCAAAATCGCCAGATGACACCTTATAGGAGTTATTGTCCTGAACTGGCTTTAACGATGTTTATCAATGTTTGCGTAATTTACTATTTTGTTTAAAAATATATAATAGATAGAGAGGAACTTTAAAGCAAAAATATATAACTTGACAATTTCTACAATTAAGTCAACATGGCTGAGATCATCAGATGACTCCTGATAGGAATTATTGCTCTTAAATGACGATTTTAACCCAATTAAAAAAAATGGCAATAATCTTGAAAACTTGAATGGACAGAAAGTACTTGTAAAAAGCAATCATGATAAGCGACCAATATCTACTATTAAACCAACATGTCCGATATCATTAATAATTCCTAATGGAAGTTATTGTTCGTACTTGAAGATTGATACCAATTACTATCGTTTTGGTCTATACTATTTAAAAGCAACTAAAGAGAGAAGCAAAAAACAAAAATGGCCGGCAAAGCAAGATCTACAAATAAGTCAACATGGCAGAAATTTTAAGTCTCAAGGTATTGCCTTTTAATGACGGGTTTTACCAATTTTTTGTTTTTTTTTCGGTGGGAACTTGTAAACACAATAAAAATAAGATATGCTATTATTTCAAAATGACCGAAATCGTCAGTCGTGTTCTAAACTAAGAGATAAATTTTTAGGAAATGTAGTTAAACATATGCCAGATTTTATGTCCTGGCAAGAAAATGAGAAAGTTAAATATCTTTTTTGCCCATCAACATCAAAAGAAGTAGAAGGCTTAGGGTCCTTTTTTAAACAGGCATTAGAACTGAGGACAGGGGACTTATTTATTTATTTATATTAATATATAAATGGATTGTTTTGCTTTTTACTTGTATATGTTTTATGGGATATGTTTTTCTATGGTTTTGTTTTTGTATTTGTGTGTATAAAATTGAGAATGGAAATGGGGAATGTTTTCATTCATATAATGCTAATATGTTATATTTATGTATGTGACTGTCACAAATCTTATGATTAATATGGCAATAAAATTATAGTAAAATTATAGTTCTTAAATGAATTATTGCTCTTCAATTACGATTATTATCCTTTTTGCAATTTTAGCAAATAATGAAGCAAATAGAGGAAAACTTTAAACCGGTAAACTTTAATCAACAAAAAGGATAAAGACACAAGATCTATACAATACATATATATATAAGTCACCATGTCCGAAATCGTCAGTCAACTCCTTGTTATATACCTATATAATGGAAATCGTCAGTCAACTCCTTTGATTTGATATGATTTGTTTCGGTTATTATCATCCTTGGCTTTCAAATATTCGGCTTTGAACTTTCCTAATGAAGGTAAATTCAGAAAAGCGCGTCGGATGCATGACATTTATAACGTGTTTTTTTTAAATTTTTTTCACGAAAGTTGTTGACTCTAAATCACAATTTTACCCAATTTTGCTTATTGTTTTGAAACCTATAATGGATATTCAAAATCTCTGTACATCAAAAATGATTAGTTGCAGTGTGATTGTATCGATGTAATGCAAAAATGTCAGGTAAAATATACTTTCTCCTCGGGTCGTCTAGTTTTAAAATGTAGGTACAAAATACCTGTTTACATTATAGAAAAAATACTTCAGTTTCATAAAAAGAAAAAAATTGAAAGAGCCAATATATGGAATGCATAACGGTTCTAGATAAAATACAGGCACAATCAGGAGAATTCGACCTCAGAGATTTAGACTTGATACCGCCAATAATGATGTCCGTGTTAGTATTTGAAAACCAAAGTTGCAATAGGTATGGTATAGGTATAGATTATTGCAAAAGACTAACCTTTAACATAGGTAGAATTTTAGATTTGTCTGATTTACAACGAGGAATATTACCTTAATTGATGCAAAAAAAAAAGACTTGGGTTGGCAAAAGAAAGTGCACGTACGACGGATTATTTCTCTACGTCATCTTTTGATAGGTGCAAGTTTCTAGTAAGTTAGATGTACAAGGAACGGTGTACATGTAAGTGAATCTTCACTTGGTTTTACTTGAATAATTTCGCAGATATTGTATTTCTGATATTTCCCCCTTCTGTTATCCTATACAAAAACAAATTACTAATTTCTCGTTGCAGATTTGACTTTAATGATCCAGTTTTTAACCGTCTACTTGGAAATATAGAATATTTATTCAAAACTAATGCGGCAGCGGAAACTATGATACCTTTACCTGCTTTTCTAAATCCATTTAGTAAGGTAAGACAACTATTGAATATAACTTGTAAGGTATATTATTATTACTGACAGAGTATGTCTACACAACTTAGATGCATCAGATAAGGTGTTATAAGATTTATTTGGCTCTATGGACCAAATGATAAATCCAGCTTTCGTCTTCGTTAGTTACATTATGCAGTCATATATATCCCTTTTGGTCATATAGCTCTTCAAGTACCTAAGTATGTATTTAGCTCTCCATGTTTCGGAATGGAGCGTTTTTGATGACGGTATATCTAGAAAAGCGCTTCGGACTCAACTTTATTAAACGTTTTTCATTTTCAACGTCCTCGTAAATGCCGTCTGGACCAATATTAACTTCAATGAACAGTGACGTTACCATAATGCAAGGCAGATTTTGCGAGCCGGACCAAAAAATTGCAGGTTCCTTTGGCTCTCTCAACTGTTGGCTGTTACCGGTCCATATTAAGATAATCAAAGAAAGCAGTAAATGCAAAGTTTTATTATTATTACGTCTGATAGATATATACTTACGGTTCATTAAATTTTTCTTGTACCTTTTCATTTTTGTCGAGCCTGCGACTTTTGTCGCAGAAAGCTCGACATAGGGATAGTGATCCGGCGGCGGCGTTAGCTCACTTCTTAAAAGCTTTATATTTTAGAAGGTGGAAGACCTGGATGATTCATACTTTGTATTTAGATGCCTTATGTTACGAAATTTCCGTCTGTCACATGTCCATTGTCCTTGACCTCATTTTAATGGTTCAGTGACTACTTGAAAAAAAAATGGTGATTTTTTGTAATGTTAAGTTCTCTCTTATTATGAGTAATAGGATAACTATATTTGGTATGTGCGTACCTATCAAGGTCCTCATGCCCGTCAGACAGTTTTCACTTGACCTCGACCTCATTTCATGGATCAGTGAACAAGGTTAAGTTTTGGTGGTCAAGCCCATATCTCAGATACTATAAGTAATAGGTCTAGTATATTTGGTGTATGGTGTACATGTCCAACTGGCAGGTGTCATCTGACCTTGACCTCATGTTCACGATTCATTGGTCAATGTTTAGTTTCTTGGTTAAGTCTGTTTCTTAGAAACTATAAGCAATAGGTCAACTATATTTAGTGTATTGAATGATTGTAAGGTGTACATGTATTTCTCGTTTGGTTTATATGACCTTGACTTCATTTTCTTGGATCATGTTAAGTTTATGTAATAATTGTAGTAAAGCTTTCATTTAGGACTATCAACATAATATCAATGGTTAGTAAAGAAGGCGAGACATTTCAGCGTGTGCACTCTTGTGTCTTTATATCACTATATCCATGCATCGGGGTGAAAAGTTAGTCACGTGGGAAACATCTGCCCAATCAGCAGTCAATGTTTCAGCATATATAATGTCTTTGGTTGACTTAGTTTTACGCTGATCAATTTCGTGATTTTTTTTTATCAAAAACCAGGATCACATCTGTGTCAAACAAGATGGACCTTCTATTGGTTTGACCATACGTTTAGGCTCCTTTTTATATGTTCGTAGGTCTCTATGTGTTTATAAATCCTCTGCTTTCCAACAATTATTGCTACTGTTGTTTCTCGTAAAAGATTACTCAAGAGAATAACAACAATCTGCAGACAAAAAAAAAACGTTTTATTAATTCAGGGTCTACCTTACAATATAAGTGTTAGTAGTTGCCACAACAAGATAGGAATCATATTGCAAATATCAAATATTTAAATAAAACCTTTCTTGGTATTAGTAATAAACCGGAAAATCCTTTTCTGATTTTCTTGTTAGTAATGCTATAATATTAACACAAGTTTCATATATATAGAACTATCTAGTAATTAGCACTACACCAGTAAGCAGGAGTACCTAAGATCACTCCCGAGTTTTGGTGGGGTTCGTGTTGCTCAGTCTTAAGTTTTCTATTTTGTGTTTTGTATACTGTTGTTAATCTTTTGGTTGTTTTTTTTTTATTTTATGCCATCGAATTGTCAGTTCGTTTTCGACTTATGAGTTTGATTATCCCTGTGGCATCTTTAGCCTCTCTTTTAGGTAAACAATCAATCAATTTAACTGTCGTTTTACGATGAATACTTTTCAAAGCATCGCAATTATTTCCGTCAATTTTATCTGTCAATTATGAGATGCTTTATTTTAAACCAAGGAAAACAGCTTTATTTTAAACACGGGAAAACATAGTCATATATGAATATGAAAAGATGTATGCTCTAATGAATCCTGTTATATGAAAAGCGATTGATATTCATTACTCATTTCTAACTAAACTAATTAAACTATATTCGTTTAATATATATCTTTTGTCATTTCTTACAGATAAAAACGATTGTAAAGAATCGGATGGAAATTCAAGAGTACATTCGTTCCAGAATAGACAACGAACGACGATCGTTTGATCCAAACAATGTTCGACACTTTTTGGATCTTTACCTTCAACAGGAAGGCAAGTCTAACACCAAAATATCAGGTTAGTTTGTATTTGTTTCTATGTTTCAATAAATCCATATACAAATAACAGGTTCTTAACGCATTAATTTATTTTGTCGTTACCTTTCAGGACAACATAATTTTTGTACACATTATTATCAAGTCCTTGTAGCTGTATACAGTGTTTATTTTGGTACATGTATATCTATACATCCCAAGTCATATCACACCAAATCTATAAAGATAAGTTTCATTTTCTAGCAATGAGTCGATACCGCTGCCGGTAGATTGTTTGTATCTGAGTGTATTTATAGCTCAATTATCGTTGGTTTGGTACTGAAATTGTTTATCACATTCTTTTATGAAATTTTCCGATAATAAACTAAGAAAATAATAAGAAACTAAGGCCCCTTATGCAAAGTTGAATTTGGATGAATTTGGCTATTCTTTAAGCGTCTTTGTGCATCTATATCTGCAACGATAGTAAAAAAGAAGATTTCTGTTGAAGTTTCATTTATATATATATTGCAGCTTAACCTCTAGATATATTTAAAATAATTTACAACATCAGAAAAATTGGTTAAACTAATGATTGTATTTTGAAGAACACCGCTAATTTAGATGGCTGTTTTAATCAGTTTCCTGAAACAATGCTTTATTTGTAAAGCACCTTTTATCATTAGAAGGTATTGTACTATTCAAATACATTTTTTTTCGTTTCAGAGAACCACCTGTTTCTCACTATAGCTGATCTGTATTTAGCTGGCACCGATACAACATCTGTTACATTAAAATGGAGCATGCTTTACATGATAAAATACCCCGATGTGCAGAAAAAGTGCAAAGATGAAATTTTGGAGGTATTATATTTTGAAACTTTGAAACAGTATAAAAAGGGAGTTAATTTGAAGAGGTCAAAGATGGTATTGTTATATACTTGTACCTATAATTAAGGATATAAGCATTCGCATTACTGAAAAACACATAAATAAAGAATGGCACTTTGAAGCATGTATTGCTCGGCTATTGATTATGCATAATATTGACAAGTGTGTCCCCGATATTTCGATAATTGATTTTTTCGGACGCTTCTTAACTTAATATATGAAGCAGCTTTAAAGACACAGCTGTGAAAAAAATGGTCTGCAGAAATTTCCGAAAACTAACATATATTGTTTGACCGGGGCATTCGTTCAATAATTTTGAGGACCGAGAAAAAACAAGTATATAGGGGGAAATTTGGAATTTTAAGAACAATCTGAGCAGAGGTTCAAACAATTGTACGTTTTGAAATCATTTTAACCGTAAAATGTAATATAAATACATAATTAAGATAAATTTTGGAAAGCTCCTGACTTCGGACGGGCACATACAGAATGTAGCGGAGTTAAACATGTTAGCGGGCGCCCAACCCACCCCTAACCTGGGACAGTGGTGTAACAGTACAACATATGAACAAACTATAAAAATCAGTTGAAAAGGGCTTAACTTATGTATTTTTAAAAGTATTAACACGATCTGTAACTAGTAAACTAATTTTTTTACCGACCATCCGATACCCTCAAGGGTAATCATGCAAGGTCGTTAAACCCCCCTTGTAAGATGTTAATTTTATTACTGAATGAATTGAATGATACTATCAATGTCTTTGTTAGTGTCAGAGCATATCATCATTGCCCCAATTTTCAAAAACATTTTCTATTTTTCAAATAGTGTTTCGTGAAATAAGATATAGTCAACAACTGACTGAGAAATATTATTTATATGGCATATTTTTGTGAACATCAGAAAGATGTACTGTTATTTGAAAAAAAAAATGGACAATTATTTGTAATTTGGACTTCAGGGGGCTCAAAAAGTGGCCGTACCATTTCTACAAATTTGTACAGACGAGGATTGTAATTAGACAAAAGAAATTTGTTAAAGCCTACACATAACTAAAATGTGATCTGCAAGTCTTCATTTCTTAATTCGACATAATGTTAAAAGTTTCTCCGCCTTTATCAAAGTCATATACTATTTACTACTTATTTATACACATATATCATTTCAAAATCACCGATTTTGTGTTCGTTATCATCAAATTTCAACATGTGCAACACTACAGATATCAGTTCAGAAACAGGAACTGCAACATCTTCCGCATGACATGTATTTACCACGTTTTTTGGTGGGGTTACTCAATCTTTTAAATTTAAGCATTTTTGTAAACTACAGTTTGTCTTTTCATTTTGCTTCTTTTTTTACCGTGGTTTTGTTTGTCCATCAATTTATATTTTTCTGGTTAAATGCATATTCTTAGGAACATTCCTATTTTGTCGATAGCTGCCATTGGGGTTGACAATAGAGCGGAAAAAACCTGCTTCCATGACATTTTTCAAATTCAAATGGTTGTTTTTCTTAATTCAGATAATTGGTGAAGATAGAGAACCAGTGGTCAAAGATAAGGATAATTTACCTTATGTAATGGCAACATTACACGAAATACAGAGAATAGCAACTATAGGTATGTAATACTCAACTTTGAAATGGAATGTAAACGAATCTTCCTCCAGGTTTTGACACGTCGATGTGCTGTATGTAAAGTTTTATATGTTTGATATATTTTGTTGATTTTGATATAGCAAATGAAACAAGTACAATATCGACCAAACGGAATAATTTTGAATGTAAATGAAAGTTGAATTGTTTCAAGTTATATGAATATTTCGATTGACTATTATAAAGGCAGTTGTAAATTGAAACGCCACTAAATCTTGTTGAATATGTGCCCAACAAATATAACAAACATTTACTTTTTAAAAGATACTGTAAAATTGCAACATAGATCATTTTTGACTTCTGAGAACACGGGATTCATCTTCAATAAGTTTATCGGATACTTCCCGTGTAGTTGAAGGATAAAGACTAAGTCAGAGATTTTTCTTACTTTTCTCTTGTTCTTCATAACAACAGTTTTCGTTAAAACAAAAGGTCGAGACGTAAAACTGTGCTTCAAACACGTGCGTTGCTAAAACGATTGTAAAGTATCCACTTCAAAACAATTATTTCTATCAAAGTTAAAGGATGAAGTTTCAAGTCAGAGATTGTTTCTTACTTTTGAAAATTTTTCGTCATAACAACAGTTTTCATTCCGGACCATCGCTAAAAGTCTATGCATCAAACACGTGCGTCTCTAAAACGATTGTGAAGTAAAACAATTATTTCAAACAAAGTTGTATATAAATCCTTAAGGTGACATGTAACGCAATTTAACCACCCAGTCCATTAAACAGTACAATAAACACTTTCATAATTAGTCCATTGTGGCCGATAGCTATAAAATGCAATCAGCTGATTATTGATTTTCTATCAAAATCGTAACGAGTTCAGTATTGTTTGATTATGGAAAAAGTTAGAGAAACACGAAAAAAGTAAATAGTTATATATCTTTCGCCAAATTCTTATGCCAATGATGAATTTTAATCGCCACAAACTTTATTTTTTCGCAAACTGCAAACATGGCCAGTGGAAACTCTACTGCCACCACTATATATTAAGGCATTAACGCAGAATCGGCTGATTTCAGAGAATTTGAGATCGGCACAAAATAATTAATAAAATACAGTCTAGGGGAGTCAAGTCATGACATGTTTTAGAAAGATGAGACAGAACATTTAAAAACACATTGAATTTGTCATTTAAGTTTTGATTTTATTCTCATTAAAGGCAAATTAATAAAATTCAAAGGGAGGTTTGTATTTTATCTTAATGTATGCAATGATATATGTTTATAAGCAACACAAATATTCGACAAAAATGCACAAATATACATAAATTTCTTTTAATGTCGTTGAGTTGCTGTCTCATTTGCGTATATTCCACATCTTTATTATATTTAGTATAAGAAAAATTTCCTTATATTCCAGTACCCCTTGCTGTACCACACCTTGCAGTTGAAGACATTGAAATCGATGGAATGACAATTCCAAAAAATGCTGTTATCTTTCCAAGCTTGATGTCAGTACATCGTGATCCAACTTTATGGGAGGAACCGGATGTATTTCGACCAGAAAGATTTTTACAAAATGACAAATTTGTTAAAAAAGAAGGATTTTCTGCCTTTTCAATGGGTAAGTTCGTAACATAGAATACTTATCAGTATTGTTACGTGCAACCAAAAGACCGATATCGTACGTTTCTAATTTAAAACTGTTTAAATCTTTTCATTGGTTTCAATGTACTTCAAGTTTCGGCCTTGCAATTGTTTTGATTTGGGTGCCATTAATAAGTCTTATGAAGACAAAATGCGTGTATGTGGTAGAACATTATAAGCCTGGTATTTTTCATGAGTTAATACACTTAGAATCGTGACAATTAAAAGCCTTTAGTGGGAGAAAAACCAATAACATCATGACCTCACAACAAATGATAAAATGACAAACAACAGTCCACAAAACACTATGCAGAAGACTAAAGAGTTAGCACGAAACGAGGTGAACTCATGTCCTCCTGAATGTTAGGCATTCCTGCTCCACCAGTTGTACCATTCGTGTTGTTTATTACCGTTACAACTTTGGTGATTAATCGCATTCGGTGACATCATAATCACAAAAGGATGAAAGGATTAAGACCACAAAAACCGAAACATATCCATTGGAATCTTTGACGGAACTATTCTATAAAGGGCAACAAAATCATGATGGTGTATGTAAAACATTTAAAGGAATAACGTTAACTTGACCATTTGGAACCTCAGGTTCAATAGCTCCATTAGCAGCAAACCTCTATTAAGGAAATAAGGATTGGAACAAACGCCCTGAATTATCGTATCAATTGGGAGATATATTCTCTTTATGTAGGTGCTTCTGTGATGTTGATATTGGAAATTGAAATTGAAACTTCACGATTGGAACATTAAAATTGTCTAGTATGTTGTAGTAAATTTTACCTGTCAACCGACTCTCGTTATCAAACGTTAATCATCTTCATGATGCCAGTCTCATAGAACTTTTATTTGAACCAGTACAACGTATGTTTTGGCCAGTCCAAAAAGGAATATTTGTATCTACGTTCACTTGGTCATTCTATCTTGTAAAACACAGCATAACTTCTAATTAAATTCTGTCTTAATTGTAAAGTATGAAGAATAGCTATGCCAAAGTCCAAATTTCCCCCCTCATAATTTAACGAAGATATTGACTTAGATTATATGTACTCTACACCGATCTTTAGAAGTTTTTAGTATCAACATCTGGTTCACAACTTCCGTAAGGTAGGTAGTTTCACATTAACTCTGAAGTCTGGTATTGATTGCTGGTCAAATAGAATTCAATGATTTAGAAAGAAATGATCCTTATATTTTTTGGATAAAAATAAGATTTATATATTTTGTATTGTAGGTCCTCGAAATTGTTTAGGAAAGCAATTAGCTGAATCAGAACTTTTATTGTTATTCGTATCCATATTACAACGATTTGATCTGTCTAAAGCTGATGAAAATGATGAATTACCAACAGTAGGTACAATGACTGGGATAACACAGCAGCCAAAGAACTTTCAAATGTGTTTCTTACCAAGACATTAAACTGAATCTATTGTTAGTCTGTTTTCTATAAATTTGAGAAAACGATTAGATTTGAATTTCCTGATTAATTATAAATACACATTTTAATAATTATGTATCATTGTTATGTATCATGTATTAAGTATCGGTAATGCCATACACAATGCAGAAGTGGGGATAGAAATGCGTAGGTTCATTTGGGCAAATAACGTTACGGTTTTATCAAACACAGCAAGAGAAATTATTAGCGGACAAAACAATTATTTGATTATTTAAACATGTACAAGGTGTTCAAAATAGTAACACAAAAATATAACATGACTTTACTTTTCACAACAGTGAAAATTCAAGAGGGACGACTGTCACTATTTTACTGTCTGAGAAAAAAGTTAAATTTATGTTCCACACAATAGAAATTTCATAAAATTATTGTAGAATGTGATACTATTGTAAAAGCTTACAAGTTTAGCAAGGAGGCCGAAGATTACTAATGACGTGGATATCAGTTTACTCTTTCGATTATTTAATCAATGGTCTGGTCCCTGCATTGTAACGTTCAGACTCCCCACAAAACAAAAAACATACAGAAAAAAATAAAGCAAACAAGAAAAAACGAAAAAAAAAACCCGAAAATGCAAATAGAAAAAAAACTATCACAAATAAATAGATGTTCTGGACCATAGAGTAATTGGACCATATGCGTATGGTCTGGGTTATTAATAAGATGAACGTTGAAAAGTTACTTTCACTATAAATAACATAAAGTATGATAACCATTCAATGTGTCATAAATTAAGAGTTTATAAAAATTCAATTTTGACTTATTGAATCATATGAAAATCATTTTCATATGATTAATGAAATATAGTGAATTTTACTCAAAAGTTGAAATCATAGTAAAAATATTTTTACTGGGCATTATCAACTTTTCCTTACGAAACACAATATGTCAACTTTGGAAAATAAATTTCAGAAATATCTAAATGTACCGTTGAACAAGAGGTCAACTGATTTATTCACATACGATTGGGGCATTGGACCCTCTCTTTTTCTTTATCTTTATGATTAAAATTTGTTTTAGTAGTTGAGTATTTTTTAGATATTTAAAACTGGTTTTGGTTATTTATAATCCAGCTGATTCGTGCATATTTTTAGAAGATTTGTGGGTTTGACGATAAAAGCATGAAACTTTGCACAATTGTAGATATGTATTTGGTAGTCAATTTAAGCTATGGACCCACTCTGAAAATCCAATATGGCGGCCATTTTCCAGATGTCTGCCATTCAATCCAATTTCACAACAATGTATAAATTAAAGCAAATAACATTCATACCAAATCTTTTAAAAACATATATAATGTAATCCAACGTTTCTAGTTAGTCACGACGTTATTTAAGACTTTTCAATATTTTTTCAAAATGGCGGAAAATTTCAAAATTGCCGCCAAAAAGTTAGTTGAACATATCTGAGATAAGGCTTTGCTGGTATTTATTTCTTCTATCGAATTGTACTTTGCAATTCATACGATATTCTAGGGATTAAATTTCCATGATACATGGATGCTGCTTGAAGACAATTTATCAAAGGTCTCAAAAATGGAAACATTCGAACGTTTCTAGGACGCCATCAGGATTTGTTTATGGATAGTTTCCACTGCTCCTTACCACAATCCTTTCTTTTTCTTCGATTGTGGTAACATCAAGATGATTAATAAATAGGACTAATCACCGAGAATCTACTTGCAATGGGTAGGAGTGCTACCAGTCTGGCCATATCTGGACAAGACACCATTTTTAAATGCTTCAGTTGTGCGATATTGATAGTCAATCTGATTGCCCCACCTACTCTTTTTACAAGTGTGTTATTATACTCATGGACTTGATCTACACTTACCATATTCAAACTACGTTTGCAACACTTGAACTGTATAGTTAAATGGCATAATGTAACGCATGGGTAATAGAAACTGTTAGGAGTAGAGCCAGAAACACCATTAAACGGCCCTGTATTAACGTTTTTTTTTCTTAATTTCAATTATTTAAGTAAAGCTTATTTAAATGTGTTGCTAAATGTTTTATATTTGAAAGTTTAATAAGAAAAGTAGTATATATGCTTCATATTTATTAATATTATTAGCCTGAAATAGGAATAGATTTCATTTTCGTCCATTTTTTTTTAAATTGTCAATTGTTTTCTTCCCTTTTTCATAATTATCTATGTGGTGCCACTATTAGCTCATTGAAAATTTAGTTGAAAAGTAAAGAACATGGTTTATAAAGAATATATCAGTAAAAATATTTGTGGGCGAAGGGTGGTGCCACTGTTCATTTGTCAGAAAACCGTCATAAAGTTTGCTGAATTCTGCAAAAAATCAGGATTCTACGAAATTCACCTACATTTATGACGTCACAAATACATCATCAGACGCAATTGGTGAAAATCTGTTTTAGGTGAAACAATTGGTCATTTTGACATATGTTTTATTGCAGTCAAAATATTTCAGATTTTTAGGGCCAAATTTATGAGCTAGTCAACCAACTCCTTTGGATGTCATATGCCAAAATGTATTAGAAGTATAATGGAATCTTTATACACCCAGAAGAAATATTCTCGTAATGATCTCACATCAAACTGTCAAGTTCAATCTTTAATGTTACAGACCAGTTGTGGTTAAGTGGACTCTCAATTCCCCCCTTATTACTCCAAACTTTGAATGTTACATAGTTCTAAACAAGGGTTTCGTTCCTCAAAAATTATATCAGGATCTTTGCATAAGAATGAGAAGTACACCTACTGTAATCTCATGAAATATCTTGTTCATGATGCATGAGAGCCTATAAAAAAGAATCTGCTGTACAGTACTAGTACTGTGTTTCCTTGTTTAACCTTGTTCAGCCACTGTTTTCTAACCAATCACACAAGGATCTCAACGATGCCATTTGTATATGAAGGCCTTAAAAAAACTACTCTTTGTTTTCTGTGTTATAAATGTGTATTATTGCACATAATCTAAAAAAAATAGCGTGCAATAGTTTCAATATTCCAAGTAACATCAAATAAAAGAAACAAGTTTTACACTGTGCAATTGCATTCGGATTGCAAAAAATCTACAAAAATACTGCAGCAGTTTCAACATACCTAGTTATGGAACAATAACGTAAATGAAACACGATAGAGTCTTTATACTATTGGTAAAAAGTAAAATAACAAAAATACAGAACTCCAAGGAAAATTCAAAACGGAAAGTCCTTTATCAAATGGTAAAATCAAAACCTCAAACATACCAAACGAACGGAAAACAACTGTCATATTCCTGACTTGGTACATGCATTTCCTTATGTAGAAAATGGTGGATTAAACCTGGTTTTGTAACTAGCTAAACCTTTCACTTGTATGAACGTCACATAGGCAGAATACAACAACAAAAATAACCAAAGGACATGTACAGGTCTACAATAGAACGGTTTCTTTGTTTAATTTTGTTGACCTCAAACTAAGCTACCACTCTAATAACTAATTTGATATAAACTGATTAGACATTTATGATAATACACGTTTCTTCATGAATGGTCATCATGATACAGTAATTATGATAAAGAAATTCATATAGGTAGCTTTAACAGTTGTTACAAAACAAAACAAAACTTTACACTTTAAGTATTATTATGACGGTGCATACATGTAATTAAATGAAGCACCTAAATTAATGAAGATGTAGATGATACAAACAGTTATAGGGCGAGGTACCTCCGTAAATAACTGACAGAGTTCAACATGTAGAATGTTCTAGAAAATATGTTGAATACATATAACACCTTTTTACCTAGGTGAGAAAGCTATTGGTTGTACATATAATTATAAATATTTGGGCATCACTTTTATACCCAGTGGAAAATTTTTTCAATGTAAAAATGAACTGTACAAAAAATCTACGAAAGCATGTTTTAAATTACAACAATGTATGTCATCGTCAAACCCTAGTGTTTCAACTTTACTTCATTTATATGACCATACTGTAAAACCAATTTTAACCTATGGATGTGAAATCTGGGGTATGTTTTCTGTAAACTCAGCTGCATGTAAGAAAAATGATCAATATATTTTAGAAAAGGTGTTTTCAAATGATACATCTGAAAAATCACATATCAAATTTATGAAATATGTTCTAGGTGTAAATAAGAAATCCAGTAATCTTGCTGTGACTTCTGAGCTAGGGAGATACCCAATGTATTTTTATATTATATTAGCAATGTTAAAATATTATCGTCGACTAGATAATTCTAAGAACATGTTATTATATGATGCATATTTATGTAGTAAAGAACTTCACAATAATAAAGTGAATACATGGTTCTCAAGTATAGACTGTATTTTACAAAAGCTGGGCATACAAACATGTAATTTAAATACCAGTATCTACTCTTTCACAAAATTTATCAAAGATAAGCTATATAAAAACTATCTCCATTTCTGGAAGGAAAATCGAAATAAAATTTTACAATCAGATCAAGGTAAACTTAATACCTATTTTTCCTTTAAAACTCTATTTTGTTTTGAAAAATATTTGGATCTAAAAAATTTTAGATTAAGGCAATCAATCTGTGAGATTAGAATCAGCGCTCATCCATTAAGGATTGAGACTGATAGATATGCCAAAATTTATGTAAATAGAACACTTAGAAAATGTTTATACTGTACATTAAATAAAGTTGAAGATGAGATACACTTTGTGACTGAATGTCCACTATATGTTGATAACAGAAATGAGTTTTTTACTGAAATTTCTCTAACTTGTAATAATATTCAATCTTTAGACAATTTATCAAAGTTTTCATGGCTATTTACACAAGAAAATTTAAATATGTATAAATGTTTGGGAAAGTATTTATCTAAAAATCTTGAGAGAAGGAGAAGTTCAAAGATAATAAATGCAAATTAGCCACAAATACACATATTTTGAGTGGTATATGATTTTGAATGGTATATTTCAAAGATGTGAATTGTATTATCTGGTTCTGTCCTGGCCTTTTATAGCATTTTTTAATAGTATTAAACGATGTTGTTTTCTTATATGTCTCTAATTTATGTCTAATCTTATGTACTTGTATGTA